TATCTATCTATCTATCTATCTATCTATCTATCTATCATCTCTTATCTTTTCTATCTATCATCTTACTGTATCTGTCATCTATTGGCCAATTGGAAGATGTGAATAACTTGGGAAATTATTTTTCCAATCTTTCTCCTGGAAGGGGCCCAGAATTCAACTGGCTGCCCCTCCTGAATTTGAACTGAAGAGATATTTTTGAATTTTATTTTTTAAAATTGTTAGGCACCCTGTAAAATTCAAAGAACATCCTTTTTTTAAAAAAAAAAGTCAGTATGGATTCGGTATGATGCCTCCATTACCTGAGTCATCGATTGTAACAGTTGTAAGTCACGACAGTCATTAAAATGCAGCTGTGTGGCCCTAATTTATTTATTTATTTGATTTGCCAATTGTTTACAAGATAATAAGTATAAGTGTATACATAGTTATGAATACATGAAATGGGTACATATAAGAAAAATAAAAGAATAAGAGAAACAATAGGACAGGGACGGTAGGCACGTTGGTGCGCTTATGCACGCCCCCTACAGACCTCTTAGGAAAGGGGTGAGGTCAATAGTAGACAGTCTAAGGTTAAAGTTTTTGGGGTTTGGGGAAGAAACTACAGAGTCGGGTAGAGTATTCCATATAATTGCAGTTGTGTTGCCAAGAATTTTGGCTCCAGGTCCTCAGTAGCCCCCAAATAGTTCCAGCATAACTTTGAATGGCTGCTAAGAGACCAGACTACCTGTATTGGGAATAAAAGAAAGAAAAAACATATATTTGAAGTGGAAAGGCTGAGTGTGTACACTCTAGGCAAGGAGACTCTCTGGTCCTGGCGTTCCCTAAAATCCAAGTTTCCCTCCTTCAGATAAAGTTTATTTGGGACCTCCTCGCCTGTTCCAGGATCTGCAGGATCTGCAAAAGGACCTGGCTGTGGTGCAGCAGATTACTCTTTTAATCAGTACCCTCCATGGCACCTACCAGGTGAGTCCACTTCGAGGTAACTGTTAGGCCTGGATTCCCCAACGGGTGTTAAGGAAAACAAACTAAACAGAACGTACAGCGAAGTCAGATAGGAAGACAGGTAAATGTGTAAGATAAGTTTTCTAGTTAACACGCAGTAAAAATACAGATACGCTTGTGCTATCAAAAATATAGTTTATTCCATTTAAGAATTATAGCATAGTCAAATATAACGGTCCATTAGTCATATATCAATTTCAGTCAAGTCTTGTCGGGGATACTCTATTTGCAAAGTCTGTGTTGAATAGCCAATGTCAGTTCACTTACAATAAATCAGTCCAATCTTATCTTCTCTCCGTTGAGAAAAAATCAACACTCCTACAAGAACGCAGTCATCAATCCATCCAGTAATTAGGGATCAGTAAGCCAGAGAGAGAGAGAGCTGCATTTGCCTCGCTTCATATATAGTGCTTTTACAACCACACCCTTAATTACATTCCTGCAGTTAAAGTTACACACACTTTAACTAACAAACCATGATACCATATTTATTATTTTTACCCAAACCACTTAGGGTAAACAATGTTATCCCTAACAGTAACTCTGCACGGGCCACAGAGGGCCTTTCACCACCACCCTGTTATTTGCTACACTTTTGAAGCCGCGTGAGATAGTTTTGTTTGAAACGCAGAAGTTGGGAACAACTTAGGGCCGCGATGGCGAACGTATGATGTAACAAGGGTGATTCAGCAGAGTCTGGGTATTTCCCTTTAAGGCTGGAGAGTAAAAAATCCCCTTAAGAGGTGTGTATATAAAAGGCAGCCATTAGAGGGCATGGTTTTCTTTCCTTGTGGCCAGTATTCAGTCCATGTCTTAAGAAGAAAAGCTTGCTTGTAAAGGTATTTTGCTACCAGGTGTATAATGTCTGTATATACCTGTTGTATGTTAAACCACTGTTAATTTCTAAGTCTCTCTGTGCTGCGTATTGCTCCTGGGTTGTCTCATAAGGGTAGTCACGCTGCCAAACCCTCTGACACAACAGTTGTGTGAAAAACAGTCGGAGGTACCATAAGCCCCCCCCTTTTTTCAGACCCATTGTAACTGTGCACGGTCACTAAACGGGGCGGTTGTAAGTTGAGGATGACCTGTCCTGTTCTTGAGTGATGGAGAGAAATCTTAGAGATGCCTTTCTGTCCAAATGACCGGTGTGTCTTTCAATCCTAATGGGAGGATTTGCTCCCAACACTTGTGATCAACGAAGTCCACAATCCAGATTCACGATACTCCTTCTCCCCTGGGTTGTACCCCTGAAACGAAGACCCCCCAATGAATTAATCTTCTCTGTCCACTTGGCTTCTAGAACCTGAACATGACGGTGGCCCAAGATTGGTGCTTAGCTTTGCAGAGGATGATGAGGGTGAAGGAAGAGGAGATCCACTCGGCCAACAAATGCCGCCTCCGCCTCTTACTTCCTGGGAAGCCCGACAAGTACGTGGAGTGGTTTATTTCCTAAAAGTGGCTCAAGAGAACCCATCACGACGTTCGAAGCCCACCCACCCGTCACTCTGGCTTCAGCCCACCCCTCCAGGCCTGGTTCATTTCCACCAAAGCCAGGAGCGGGTGATCCAACTGTCATCAAGCTGTATCTTCAATCAATCAGAATAGAAGTGGAAGGGACCTTGGAGGTCTTCTAGACCAACCCCCTGCTCAAGCAGGACACCCTATACCATTTCAGACAGGCTGTCAGGATTCCGGCGGTTACCCCCATTTCAATTATGAGTCTCGAGCCAAACTTCCAAAACTTCAAAAGGGTTTATTGGGAGTTAACATGTCCGGCACTGCCTGGGTGTAGTCGACTCTGAGACACATCATTCATTGTCACCCTTGACCCTGGTTTCCCCCCACCCCACCCCCTGGGTGTATTGTAATCCATATTCTCCAATGGGACACGTCCATAGCCCAGAGTCATCAATCGTGTTCTCCAGTTAGAATTTTGCCCAGCAGAAACTTCAGTCGCCTAGTTACTATCTTTGAAAAACCATTTATGGAATGCACTTTCGATTCCCAAGCTGCCGCACTGCTCTTTCAAACCCCTTCCCCTCCTCTCTTTCTGTTTGGCAACTCTAAAAAGTCCATAGAAATATTTTATGTGTTGACACAGGTGGTTGTCCAGTCTCTTCTTAAAAAACCTCCAGTGATGAAGCAACCACAACTTCTGAAGGCAACTTCTGTTCTGCTGGTTGATTGTCCTCCCTGTTAGCTCAATTCCATTTTGCTTCTCTCCTTGATTAGTTTCCATCCCTTGTTTCTTGTCCTGCCTTCAGGTGCCTTGGAAAATAAGCTGACCCCCTCTTCTTAGGGGCAACCCCTCAAATATTGGAAGACCGCTATCATGTCTCCCCTGGTCTTTCTTTTCTCTAGACTGGCCATATCCAGCTCCTGCAACCGTTCGTCATAGGTTTCTGTCCCCAGGCCTTGAATCCTCTTAGTTGGTCTTCTTTGCACTTTTTCCAAAGTCTCACCATCTTTTTTGTAATGGGCTGGCCAAAATTGGATGCTGTATTCCTTTACTAAGGATTTATAAAGCGGTACTAATAACTTCATGTGATTTTTGATTCTATGCCTCTATTTATGCAACTGAAGATTGTATTAGTTTATTTGGCGGCGGCTGCACATGGCTGGCTCGTATTTAAGTGATCGTCTGCTAGGACTCCAAAGTGTCTCTCACAGTTACTGTTTTTGAGCTAGATTGTGCCTAATCTTGTACCAAGATCATGGGTTGCCCTCTCCCCTCTTTGGAAGAGCTTTATAGCTCCCGCTGCCTTAAGAAAGTTCAAAACATTCTCAAAGATCCATCTCATCCTGGGCACCCATTTTTTGAACTATTACCATCTGGCAGACGGTACAGAATAATAAAAACAAGGACAAATAGGCTGAAAAGCAGCTTCTATCCCAGGGCAGAAGCTCTTTTGAATTCTGCTATATAGTGCAGTATTGGTGCGGTGTCGGGAGTTTTCAGTTCAATGTGTGGAGGGTAAAGGATGTGTGTTTGTGTTTTATTTTCAATGTGCACTGAAGATGGTGTTTGATTTCGTTGCATGAGGTGCAATGACAATAAAGTAAACTAAACTAAACCAAAGGTACAAGTACAGATGGTGTTTAGGTTCCCTGTGACCCTAATGGAGAGTACACCTTTTATTTTCTCCTTCTGGGCATCACCTGGTTTTACAGGTGACCCTTGTCTGGTTCTCCTTGTATTTCTGTAAAGAGTCACTGCTGGCTTCTAAACATAGCACAGTTCTAGGCTGCATAAACAGAGGGATAGAATCAAGATCACGTGAGGTGTTAATCACACCACTTTATAATGCCTTGGTAAGGCCTCATTTGGGATAATGGATCCAGTTTTGGTCACCACGATATAAAAAAAAGAGGTTGAGACTCTGGAAAGAGTGCAGAGAAGATAAACTAAGATGATTAGGGAAATAGAGGCTAAAACATATCAAGAACGGTTGCAGGAATTGGGTTTTGTCGAGTTTGATGAAGAGAAGGACTAGGGGAGACATGATAGCAGTCTTCCAACATCTCAGGGGCTGCCCCAAAGAAGCGGGAGTCAAGCTATTCTCTAAAGCACCTGAGAAGGCAAGACAAGAAGCAACGGGTGGAAATTAATCAAGGAGAGAAGCAACTTAGAACTAAGGAGACATTTCCTGACAGTGAGAAAAATTAATCAGTGGAACAACTTGGCTCCAGAAGTTGTGAATGCTCCAACACTGGAAGTTTTAAGAGGAGATTGGATAATCATTTGTCTGAAATGGCATAGGTCTCTTCCAACTTGTGTTATTCTATTCTATAATGCAGAATTTAGTATAAATTAACAACAGGGAGTTCAAAGAGGAGATTTGGGGTATCAAAACGTTACTCCTGAAATGATCTCTTCTCAGCATTCCCAAACGCCAGGTTTAGACTGTTTAGATAACCGTTCCAAAAGGAAGAATCTGCCTTTAATTAATAAAAGAGGAAGCACGCGTCTGACCAAAATGAGATTTAGAATCCGAGGGCTGCAAGGGACCTTGGAGGTTGTCTAGTCCAACCCCCTGCCCGGCGTAGGAATCCTTGTGCCATCCTAGATTTCTGTATTCATGTTTTCACCTTTATGTCCCAAAAGTGCTTTTTTTCTAAGAGGAAACTGGACTTTCTTTGTTTTTCTTTGAAGACGTTTCGCTTCTCATCCAAGAAGCTTCTTCAGCTCTGACTGGATGATGGTGGGAATTGGAAGGATTTATACTCTTTGCAGATAGCTGGTCATCTGCATCCTTTTAGAGGGCCGTTGAGGCCACTTAGAGATTTATCTGTGTCCTCAGGGTCACCTGAGTGGTGCAAATGGGTATGTGATAACCCGGGGCGTGGCACAAAGGCAACACAGTTAGATAATCAGTAGGAGTCCTTTTATTAGCGCCAACTTTGCCCCCGGTGTCCTAGTTACCTTCTGGGCTGGAGAAAAACTCCCCCAGGAAACAGCCTTCGGCTACAGAAAATCAAGTCCAAAATGTGGTCAACAAAAACTGTAACTATAAGTCCAATCAAGGCAAGATGAGATAATTAGTCCGGCAGGGCAGGAGAAGGAATTCCAGATGTGAAGGCACGGCAATAACTCAACGTGGTTGGTAAGATGCCAGAAACATACATAAGCAAAGTCAATACAAGGTAAACTCATGTTTGCTCCCAGCAGCTGCCACATGTCTCTTAAACTCTTCTTCCCAGGTGTGGCTAATGAAGGGAATCAGGGCCCTTTCCTCCCCCGTAAGCCACACAACCCACGTTGCTCTCTTCTCTGTTCCTCCCTGCGTGCCCTAGAATGAAGAGGGGGTGGGCCTAGGTCTACCTCTGAACTCCCTCTCCCTTGTTCTACCTCTTCCCAGCTCTGCCCAGCCGGACTTTGCCCTTCCCCAGTTTCTCCACAGCCAACGGAGCCACACTCCCACTCCCTGTCAGCTGTTCATCTTCCTCGTGGGATTTAGACTCCGACAGGGGCATGACAGGGTGTGGAGCCTTCTTGGAACGGTTGAAAGGACGGTGTTGTAGACTGGAGATAGAGGATGCCGTATCTTCTACCTCGGTTGAGAGAGGGCTGTTCAATTTTGATATAGATGTCCTCTTTATATTGATGGCCTCTTTATCTCCTGGGGTTTATTTATTTATTTTATATTATATGTTTATGTATTTATTTACTTATTTATATTGACAGGTCTGGTCGTCCCGTCAGCGTCATGGTGGTGTTCATCACACCAAACCCACTCAGCAAAATTTCCTGGGTGAATCATTTGCACTTGGCCAAGATTGCCCTCCGTGAGTAAAAACGCCTTCGCCTCCTTGTTCCTTGATCCGTTGCTTCTTCATAACGGTGTGCGGTTAGTCCTCGACTTATAACCGTTCGTTTAGTGGCAGAGTTACAGTTGCCTTGGGGGAAAAAAAAAGTGACTCGGGGCAGGACCCAATCTGAGCCGGTCACCGGGACTCCCGTGATAAAAGGGCGAGGGATTTTCATAAAGTGACTTACGACAGTCCTCGCACTTACAACCCTGCAGCACACCCCCACCAACGGTCGTGTGGTCAAAATTCAGGTGCTTGGGCCACTGACATGGACTTACGATAGTTGCAGTATCAGAAATGGCAGCTTCTGACAAGCAGCGACAGGATGCTTGAAATTGTTTTAACAACTGCCTGATTCACTTTGACAACTGAATCAAACTATGTTTTTAAGCTGCCTAGTGTTGCCTTTGGTGAAATGGGCAGCATAAAATTGAATGAATGAATAGAACAGAATAGAATAGAAATAAGAATAGAATAGAAATAAGAACTGAAATAAGAATAGAAT